TTTTTTTTTTTTTTTTTTGTGGCTAATATAAAAACCTACCCATTACCTATCCACCCATCTATCCATCCACCCACCCACCAATTGATCCACCCACCCATCCACCCACCTATCCACCCATCCACACACCCAACCACCCATCAACCCATCCATCCATCCACTCACCCAATCACCCACCCATCCATCCATCCATGCATGTCTATGACATACAGAGTATTCCCAGGCACCTTATCAGACTCTGGGACCCAATGATTAAGGTAGCCCTGTCAGCCCTGGTAAAGTCTGCACTTTGGAAAGGACCAAGGGAAAAGGAAACACTGGGGAGGTCAGGAGAGGAGGTTCGGTTGGGGGAAGGGAGGAATGGAGTCTTTCTTTCCAGCTAGATTCAAACCTCCTCAGAAGCATAAAGTTCCTGAGTTGCTTGCCCCATGACAGGTTGCTTTTCTCCTACTCTGTTGTTGCAGCTGCACATTGTCCATTATAACTTAGAGCAATACCCCAACATCAGTGCCGCCAGTGACCAGTCAGGAGGCATCGCCGTCCTAGCTGTTCTCCTTGAGGTGAGAGATGTTTAAGGGGATGTACATGAAATTTGTAGCTTGGCACTTTGTTTCATGTGTGCTAGCTGGTGATAAGATGCTCCTGAGTGGGCCATATCCTCTGTCCAGAGCAGGGGTACACCGCTTATGGTTCCCTCTCATATGGGCTGGGGAGCAGAAATGGATCTTTTGTGACACGGAAAAGTGAACCCCAATCTCTGGCCTTGTTGCATGAGTACAGAGCTGCCCCATGGCGGAGGCCCTGGGAGAGAAGGGATCATTAGGTTGCCGCATTGGATGTCTGAACCAATTTACAATTCTGGTATCCAAGCTCCATCTTGTATATAGACCCTGGGATGAATTCTTTAACCATCCAAAATGGGGTATCTTTTGATCAGCTTTCACTTCCCCCATATTGAAGCCACACATACCTCATTTCCCAATACACTTCTTTCTCTAGCTTGGTTTTTGGGACCTCAGAACTCCCTACAGTTCTGGGTTAGATGGACATGCTAGTCCCTGTACCCTGTTCCCTGGGACTCAAGCTCAATGTCTTCTTCTTTATTTTTTTTTTTAATTTGGTACCAGGGATTGAACTTGGGTCCTTGTGCTTGCGCTTGCGAGGCAGGCAGTGGAACCACTGAGCTAAATCCCCCACCCGAGCTCAATGCCTTATGATGAAAAGAGGGTATCCTTTGATGCCAGAGAGCAGGGTCATTACACTAATTCCTGGCAACCTCATGACCCACACAACCACCCTAGTAAGGCAGTAGCTATGTACCTCCATCCATGTCCTTCTGACACCAACTGCCAGGCCAGGCTCAACCTGCAGCGTTCGGTCACAGCTCAACCTCCTGATCTCTATTGCAGAGGGGCTCCTTCAATCCATCCTATGACAAGATCTTCAGTCACCTTCAACGTGTGAAGTACAAAGGTGAGAGGCCCCTGGATGCTTATTCCCTCTGTTGGAGTAATCACGCCCATGTCACCTTAGGACAACAACATAAGGGGTGGGCGCTATTAGCGTTCACCAGGCTAAGGGCTGCAGGTTGCTGAATTGTGTTGTAACTGTTTCGGATGGATGACCCAGAAAGAGAAGAGTTTGTGATGACAGACTCCATTTCTGTGCTCAGCTACATGCGTGGCTTCCACAGGGAGTGAGACCGACTTGCCCCCTCCCCCACTGTCCCTCCAGGTCAACAAGTGCTCATCCCAGGCTTCAACATCGAAGAGCTGCTTCCCCAGAAGCCCGCTGAGTACTACCGCTACAGGGGGTCCCTGACCACCCCACCTTGCAACCCCACCGTGCTCTGGACGGTTTTCCGCAACACTGTGCAAGTTTCCCAGGAGCAGGTAACAGTCAACAACTGAAGTCAGAGTACACAGCACCTCAGCCCCGCCCCAAACTGGGTCATAATGAACAACTACATTTCCTTGCTTAAGAGTTCCACTGGCAGCTGTTCAAAACCTCTCCAAGTATCAGTGGTGCCTAAAAATCACAGGCTGAGCCTTAGAGAGGAGCTACGGAGTCATGCTAGGAGAGTGAATATGTGTCTCTACGGTTCCTTACGAGAGCTGAGCGACTGAATTTGCTAAGATTACCGGAAGTGGCTGGATGATCTGTGCTTCCCCCGTGGGAAGAGACCCTGGCTTTAGGGGGCAGAACAGAGCCTGTATCAGGTTGAGTCCTTTACCAAACAGGGTGCTGGAATCACAGCAGTAAGTGGGAAGCAAAGCCCTGAGCCAGCATCTCTAAGGCTACAGATGAGAGGTGGGGTTAGGAGCTTGTGGGATCACAGTGGTTAGTGAGAAACCTGAGACCCAGAGTCAGGTTTTTCCGAGTCTCCAAATCATGGTTTATTCTTGCACTCCATAAGTACAAGCATGAAGAAGAAACTTGGGCCCCCAGGAGAGGTGGCTGGGCCGCGCTGCCCACCTCACACTCACCTCGGGACAGAAGGAACTGCTGCTCCTGCTCGTTACTATGAGCTTCTACCTAGAGTGGCAGCAGGTGGGCGGAAAGGAGTGAGGATGAGAAGAATCAGAGGTGACATGCGTGGGGAAGCAGCAACATCCTCACCCAGAAACTCCCTTGGAAACCAATTATGTAATCTTTGTGGGTGTGCAAAAATGCCAGGAAGCAACCGTCAGATGACCTGGAAACCTTTTACCCTCTCCTTTTATTTCTTCTTTGACCATCAGAACAAGCTCTAGGCCCTCTAGCTGGGTTCCAGTTCAGGTTCATGGGAGAGGCTAAGAGGCCCTCTGTCTCCCTCTGTGGGGAAGATTCCGTGGCCTAATTGGGAGCTGGCACCCAACACTGCCCAGCACCCAGTTAGTGAGGCACTGGCAGGGGTAGTGTAGACACAGTTTTTTGTGTTCTCTGCTTTTTTTACCTCACACCAGATACCCCAGGGGCTTCTCCTATGTGTTCTTCCCCTGGGAGTATCAGTCCACCCATGGGGTTTGTTTCTGCCTTTCCCTTCAGCTGCTGGCTTTAGAGACAGCTCTGTACTGCACAGATGTGGGCGACCCTTACCCCATAGAAATGGTCAACAACTTCCGGCGAGTTCAAAATTTTGATGAGAGGCTGGTGTACATCTCCTTCCAACAAGGTGAGGGATGCAGTAGCAGGGGTGGGGCATGTGGGGGTGCCAGGATGTCTGTGTCGTACTGTCTGTCTCTGGTACTGGTGCCCTTGGAAGGCTGGCTAAGGAACCAGGGCACAACCAGGAGTTGTGGTATGGGGCTTGTTATTGGGGTCTCCATGAAGAGATGTTCTCGGGGCCTTCTGCTGAGAAATCATCCTAAGACACACGATAGGCCTTTTGTCATGAGGTTAGACTTCTGACTTCTCATCCTAGGCTTTCTTGGCATCAAGGGCTGTGGCCACCCGCCTAGGTTTACTTAGGTGATTTACCCCCCACCAGCATCCCACAGTGCTCCTTTATAAGGTCATGGCTACCAGCACCTCAAGGTCTAATGTAGCAGGGCCCAGTAGGCAAGAAGGCACCCTCATTCACAGTCTTTTTGTCTAATCTCCTTGGTGTTTATAAGCACATGTATATCTGTTCCAAACTGAATGAAGCATATAGTTTGGTTTATTCCCACTGGCAGGAAAGCTATCTTCCCTTTAAATGCATATCTCCCAGAAGAACGTTAACATTTTATTCCCTCAGTGCCTCCATCAGTACTTCTGGAAAGAGATAAGGGACCTTCATCTTTCTTCAAAACTTGGAGTTCACTTTCTCACCGGATTTCTTAGCCTCTTTCACCTTGGGGATCTAGGGTGTTCAGAAGAACGTCCTTCCAAGTCCCATTTCATCCTCTTACTATCTCTTATGGACCAGGTGAAGCCACTGACCCACTTGTCAGAGAATCTGTGGCGCTCATCTTACCAGATGTGCTTTTTTGTTATTGCTTTCTCACTGAGATTACAACCATCACCACTCAGTACAGTTGTGTAAATGAAGACCATTTCAAGGCCTCGCCAGAAACATTTAGAAAGCTGCCCTTCAGAGTTAACCCATTAGCACGGTCAGAATTATATCCTGCTCTGTCAGTACTGAATTAAGAACTCAACTTTTGTGTTCTCTCCTGAGAGCACTAGTTAAGTTCACTTCCCTCTTTTCCTCAGTATCTCAGTTTGAAAACTGAATCCATGAACAATGGCCCTTCCTAAAATTGAGACTCTATAAGATAACTAACACTTTGTTTTCTAGGAAGTGCCCCAGATGCTTTTCTTAGTGATTTATTTTGGATAGAGCATTTTCTTGTCTCATTCTTCCAAGTGAAATATGCAGTATTTACAGGGTAAATAAAACTACTGCCATACTTTAAATAAAATGTATAAATATAAAACTCTGCCTGGAGATAAGCGACTCTGACTTGTGGGTCAGGTAGAATTCTGCTTGTGATTTAAGGGCTCTGTGTTTTGAGCTCTGCTTCCTGAGCGAGGTAATAAATATTCTCCTTAAGCCAGGAGACCTTATTTCAAGCCCTCATTTTGCTTTCTTTTGCTGTGTGGACATAATGATTTCCTTCTTTAGCATTGGCTTCTTGGCCCAAAAACATGCCAGGTTTGAAGAAGTGATCGAATGGCCTTTTGGTGTAATATGTTATGACTTTCAATGGACACTAACAACTACCAATCCTAACTTTACGTTGCAGGGACAGAGATTGAGGGCAGTTACAGAGGATCAGAAGAAACCGGGCAGGAACTTGATTATGACATCCAACAGTAACCCCTCACTTGTAATGATGGACTGTGGCTTTGGGAGTAATTAGCCATCTTCTTACACTGGCTCCCCTCTAAGTAGTTGCTTGTAGACTGGGTAGTGAAGGCAGGTTTTGTAGCAGAGTGCTTCAGTAAATTATTCAAGTCTGGCTGGGTAGACTGAGAGCTGGATGCTTGCAGAGCAACTGAGGAAGCTTAGGAAATCAAGATCAAAGCCCAAGTGCAGCTTTGCCACTGACCTTCGCTGCATGGCTTGACCACACATGCTGCTTCTAGGAGCCCAGCCTGGGCTCAGCTTTCTCCTTGCAGTAAGAATTCATGGCAGCCCAAGGAAACCTGTTTATCTGGAGGCTGGTTATAGAAACTTGGCCAGAATTCTGTCCCTCTTACTCCCCAAAGACACAGGCAGCTAACACGGTTGCTTCCCCAGGAGGAAGGAGGAGGCAGCCCGTCAGATGCGAAGATCCAAACCTCATCTGCCCGGGAGCATTCACCAGGGCCCCAAACTCAGCATGGAGGAGGTCTCAGACTGTAACACACCATCTCAGGCTTACGGAGGAGCCTGTTTGTCAGCAGAAGCAATGAGCAATTTGGACTCAATTATTCGTAGACTCTTCCACTGAGGCATGTTTGTAATTAGGGTCTGGTTTACTCAGGATTTTCTCCGGATGTTAACAAGAGCTGTGGAGTGAGGGAATTCTGCTGGGAGGAAAGTAACCTAAGAGAAATCCTCTAGGAGAAACTGAGTGGCAGGAGTGGAGATGTGAGGTTTAACAAATAGAGACAACCGAGAGTCATTTCACTTGACCCTGCTATCTTCCTAGACAGTGCTCAGAAAGTATTACAGAACCTACTTTCTGTCCTAAGAGGCTTAAAATCCAGCCGAGCTTCTGCCCTAGGGAAGGGTTTCACAACACTGGTACTACCGAAACTTCAGGCAGGATAATTCTGGCTGTGTCCTGAGTGCTGCAGCATTAGCTGTGTCCCTGGTCTGTCCCCACTAGATGCCAAAAACATCTCCCCATTGTGGCAACAACAACGTCTCCAGACCTTGCCACACTCTGGAGAAGTGGCAAGGTAGCCCCTGCTTGCTGGGTGAGGTAGCATACACCCGTAATCGTAGCACTACAGAGACTGAGGCAGAAGGATCAGACAGGATGATCGCTATGAGTTGGAGGCCAGCCAGGGTTATAGTTCCAGACCAGCCTGAACCATGCATTGTGAGATCCTGTCTCAAAAAAGTGCCCTGATTGAGATCCACTGCCTCAAGGGCTGTTCAACGACTCTCCTAGGCCCAAGACTGATTTTTTCACTTGCGTCATAGGACTCCAGAGTTCTATGTCACATGGCCTCGTCTTTTCTTTATTCTGTTATGGCATGAAGTTTCAGTCTGGGGATGACTGTGCCAGAAGCATCCAAGTTGAAGTTGCTTAAGTAGAACAAACAAATCCAAGAGATGCTTCATTCCCCATCTTCCTTTTTTTTTTTTTTTTTTTTTTTTTTTTTTTTTTTTTTAACTATGTAGCTGAGACTCACCTGGAACTCACTATGTAGCCCCGGTTGGTCCTGAACTCACAGCGATCCTCCTGCCTCAGCCTCCCGAGTGCTGGGATTACAGGCGTGCGCCACCACGCCCAGCTCCCATCTTCCTTTTTATAGAAAATGGGGGAGGCTAAGAGAAATGGCATGAAAAGGAACCTGCCCCCCTTACAAGAGTACCCAAACCCCCGTATCTGGGCTCTAGGGGCTTCTGAAAATAGCCACTTTCTTCAGAATTCTGTCATCATTCCTTTCCCCCTCCCTTCTGTAGGAGTTTTTCTCTCTTGTAGGTTGTTTCTCGTTGCCTTTGGTTAAAATGTCTACTCTTATGGGAAAGTGACAGTCACGCTAGGTACTTTTTTAGCTCTTGAAAGGTTATTCTTCCAAAGAAGACCTGAGTTTGTCATTGAAGTGGGCGCCTGGGGAGGAGAATCATCGCAAAACCACCTCAGATGGCACAGGAGCACATGCACTCAGTAAAGTAATGAGAAAGATGGCAGGGCCGGGGATTTAGCTCAGTGGCTCTGCCACCTGCCTTGTAAGCACAAGGACCCGAGTTTGATCCCTGGTACCAAAAAAAAAAAAAAAAAAGATTGCAGAAGCAGGAACCTATCCCAGGGGCCAAGGTTTAGGGCTTTGGCCTGATTCTTGGCTGCCTCAAACTGACCCCTCCCACTCCAGTGACAACAACTCTAGTGATGGCTGATAGCAAGAGCCCATCAAACATAAACACTGTACCAATATTACCTGGCATTTTTCCGGATTTGTCAAGGAAACAGAAACAGGTGGGACAGAAGGAGGCCACCAAGTTTCTATAATCACATTTCAATGGGCCGGCTCAGAGCAAATGCATGTCACCTGCTGCAGGGCCAGAGCCCTGACTGTAGAGTAGCAGCACAGTTAGCATCTGCTTGACCCTCAGGGACCTGCATAGTTTTAGAAAACCTCGAGAGAAAGAAATCTTACAGCTAAGATGGCTAATTAATGTTTCGCGATTAGAACATATGCGTTGTGGATATTGACCTTGTGTTTAAGTTTTTATTTATAAATAAAAGGTATTAGCTAGAAGAGTACCATCGATTCTTCCAAAGCATCCAACTAAGTAACCAGAGGAGTCCAACCTTCAGATTCCTAAACCTGGTTCAGGGGGCTGAATAGTCAGGAGCCGTTGCCAGATGTGCTAAGCAGTGAACCCCGTCTCCCTCAACACCCCGCCCCCGTTTCCTGAGTACAGCCCGGTTGTGCACTGTGGGGACAGAAGACCTCCCCATGCACCACTTTGCTCCTAATAAGCTTCTGGCACAGAGCAGACTGTGCTCAGGAATGATAGTGGGAAAAGGGTTTGGGCAGGAGCCTGGATCCGCTCCTTGCTGAGGACCCCGCTGACCTCCCTCGTGGGCTCTCACAGCACCCATCCCTGCCCTCTTGGCCTCTGTCCCACCAAACTGCAGGGCCTCTCTTCCAGGGCAGCTGCCTTCCAGAGCACACCTTGATCCTTTTTTCTGGAGTGGATCTCACCCTCCTCCACCTGGGAAATTCTTTCAAGATCCAACTCTAATTACATCCCCATAAGTCCTCCCTGGTCCCCTGGAGGCAACTTACAGTTTCCTCACTGCAGCCAGACCCAACTTATTCATCCCTGTTATAGTACTTTGCATACCATATTTCTTAGCAGAATTTGAAAACAGGAAGGAAATAAATATTATACACACTGTACAAACTCCTTAAGAACGACATAATTTTCATGTCTGGCACAGTGCCTAGTGCTCATTATAAGCCTGCTGAGAAAATATAACTGACTCGTCTCCCGCTTCCCGCACCAACTCACCAGTGCCTTCTCTGAAGAATGACTTATATATGAGTCTGGCCAGTTGTCAAATTTTAGTTTTATTAAGTTTCACTTTGTTTTGTTCTCAATCAACCCATATGTTGTTCTGTTTAAATCAACCCACATGTTTAAGAAAAACTACAGATCAAAACTTCCTGTCTGGTTCTGGAGGTCTGGAAGGAAGTTGCCTGGCTGTGTTACACACCTTCCGTGGTCCCGACTTGCCAGAGGTAGAGGGCCCATTTCCACACCCATCACTCCTTCAGCACGGTTGGCCTGGGCCACCGAAGGCAGCTCACAGCACCACGGTCTGTCACTGGAGTCATTCCTGCTGCCCCAGGACTTAGGCCCCTCAGAGCAGTGTGCCTTTCTGCTCTGGGCCCGCTGTCCTGTGATTTGGAAGACAGAACCCTCAATCCTATCACAGTTGTATAAATAGTTCCTATGTGTAATCTGGTGGGGGTCTTTTTAGCAAATTTCCTTGTAGAAATTATGTGACTGGACTGTATAGTGTTAATAAGGAAAACTCCCCAGTTAAATGTATCCTCCAAAGATAGCCATGCTCTGGTTACTGAGGGCATCCACCTTACTTTTTTTTTTCTGTTTTGTTTTTTTGGATTTTTGTGAGATAGGGTCTTGCTATGTAGTTCAGCCTGGCCTTGAACTCATGGCAAGCCTTTTGACTCAGCTTCCCAAGTGCTGGGATGACAGGTGTATGCACTACCCTTGCTACCTTGCCTTTCTTACCAAAGCATTATGCAAAGAGTACCAGCGTTGTAGTTATTTGACTCTGTCTTTTATAATAGAGCATAGTAACAGGAATTTTACCATCCCTTAATGGCTTTTATGTATTTAAATGAATGAATCCTTGGTAAGCTAAACTCTCTTGGTCTTTTTTATAAAACTAGAGACTGCTGAAGACCCATAGATGTATAAATGTTATCACCATATAACCTGTTGCCAACAAAAATTTTGATACTTTAAAATAAGACTTTGAAAAGAAAAGGATTGTTATATAATCAAGTAGAATTGCAAACAGAGCTAGAAAATACTAGGCTGTTGTTCCAGGAACCCCAAGATGTACGCATGAGGTACTTGCTCCTCGGGCTGGACTTGTCTGTGTTCACATTTGAGGCTTCAGGAGACCTCAAAGCAGTTAACCAGCATCCTCGGGCCACTCAGATGCCAGTGGAAGATGCAGCTGCTGAGCCAGCCAGAACAGGTAGCAAGGCCCTGTGGCAAGCAGCTCCCAACCTCCTCCAGGTATCTGTACCTTCCTGGAAGAGGCATGCACAGTCCAGTTCTTCTGTGTCTGTGTCATCTCCTTCTCTGTGTTATACTGCCTTCCTATCTTTGCTCACCCTGACTGAAACCTGAGCTCTCCGTGCACAGCAGGCAGCTCAGCATATGTCTTGGCCACCAGCCAGCTCAAGCGCCCCTTCTGCCGAGTTCTTAGCACTGCAATGGCTGTCGTACAGAAGCGGCCGCCTCTGAAGCAGTCTGTCTCAGTTTCTCCTGTCTCGTTGTTTGCTCTTTCTTTCTTCTTTCCTTCCTTCCTTCCTTCCTTTTTCTTTTTCTTTTTCTTTTTCCGGTACCACGGATGGAACTCAGGACCTTGCTCTTGCGAGGCAGGTGTGGCACCACTGAGCCAAATACCCAGCCCTTGTCTCATTATTCTTCAGCGGAAACTGCCTGTCTTAGTTTTTATTTAGAAGCAGCTTTTGTTTAATCTCTGTAACTTTCTCTGGCCATCTTTGAGGCCTGTTCTCTACAGCAGCCTAGAGACTGGGCCTCACCCATCTGAGGGTCTTCTGTGAAACGGGCTTTGGCTTCTCTCTCCCAGCTGTACTTCTGTGAATTGCCCTGTGCTCCTGAGCATCCTCTCTGCCTTTTAGTTAGCAGAGTCTCTGGCTCTACCTTTACTGGGACCCCAGCCCTGTGGGCTTGCTCCATCTCTGTAGAGAAGCCCATCTGCCTGATGGGTGGTGCTGCCAGACTGGCAGGGGTGGTGTTCCAACCACATCTTCCTGTCCAGGCTTCATGACGGGGTAGAGCTATTAGCTGACCCCCTAGCTGGCATTTCCTCTTCCTTAGGGACGTAGGCTCTTTGTGTGCTCAGTCAAGCCGCTTTGTTTTTGCTGAATCACAGGTACTGAAGGCACCTGTTCCGCTCTAGGTTCCTCATCCTTATGGCTGTTTGGTCTCATTTCATTGTTTTCAAGGAGACCCAATTTCACACTTGACAAGTGGCCAGCAACAAAGCAACAAAGTGCTTGGGTTACAGCACTGGATTGAATTATAAAGTAGTCTTGCGGGCCTATTTCAGTCAAAAACACCATAGTGAACAGGGGTAAGCCACTCTCCCTCTGGAGAAGCCACCAAGCTGGGTCTGTGCTCTGGAGAAAAGGCCCACCTTGGGATGGTTGGTCTCCACTGACTGTTTAGCAAACTAAGACCATGGCATGAAGGCACCTCCCCAGCCATGGACTGGGTCTGCTCAGCTACCTGAGTCCTGTGTGGCTCTCCGCATATGTGAGGTGACTGTGAAAGAGTCAACTTTAGGAATACCATCCAGTTTAGACAGCTTAGCAAAGTGGCCATGCTTGCTAGTAATAGTCTTTATGTGGTGAGAACTGGTTTGGAACTATACGCTTCTGGAGCTTTAGGAACAAAGAACAAAAGTGTATTTTATCAAAGAACTTAGAAAAGAAACCATGGCTAGGTTTTGTTTGTTTGAGACCCCAAAGGGCCAAGTTTCTGGGTACCTTTAAACAAAAACTGCAAACCTAAATACCAAGTTGCAGAGGCCACAGGCCAGGCGGTCAAAGTGCACAAGCTGTACACACATGTGAAGCTTCTCAGGTGAAGACTCGAGGCCCCAGCACCTCCCCAAGCCACAGACTGGTCCTCAAGTTCTAGATACAAGAACAGGCCTAGGTGGGGAATCTCTTTCTCTGCCACTTGGAAGGCTATGAGTTGCAGGTAGTGGCTGGCAAGAACAGGGAGAACAGGCCACCTTGGCCTTGCGGATAGCTCTCTCCCTGCCTGCTCTTTTTACCCTCACAGCAACCCAGGCCATCTAGGGAAGCAAGACCTGGGACACACAAGGGCCAGCCCTGGATCAGAGAGGCTCTGCAGGTTTGATGTGACATTGCAAAAGGACACCAGGGAAGGGATACAGTTAATGGATGCTGGGGAATCGGCTGCATCCTGGCCACAGGACAGGAGAAGGGAAGCGAGCAAATCCTCATTCTGCAGCCTCAAATGTGGTTCCTCAGTGTCCACTGCCCTGGAAGAGGAGGCTGGCCCTCTGCTGGCATCTCATACTTAGCCAGGGTCTCCCAGGGGCTTGGAAGCCACTGTGGGCTCTACAGGCACAGACTCTCCTGTGTTTCAGTCTTGGCTGCCACCACCTGTACAACTCTGATTTCCAGTATGAGTTAGAACAACTGCCCCAGCAAATACACACACACACACACACACACACACACACACACACACACACACACACT